TATTATATTCACTACTTCATTCTGTTCATCAGATTTTTTATTCTCTTGATTTTTAGATTCACTTGTTGATAGATAGGTATTTGTTGTTCATAATTTTTATCTTTTTCTTCTTCTTTCTCTTCTTAAAGAATAACTTTCAGCATTTCACTTAATTCTGGTTTGGTGGTGATGAACTTCTTTAGCTTTTTCTTATCTGTGAAGCTCTTTATCTGACCTTCAATTCTAAATGATAGCTTTGCTGGGTAGAGTAATCTTGGTTGTAGGTTCTTGATTCATCACTTTGAATATTTCTTGCCACTCCCTCTGGCCTGCATAGTTTCTGTTGAGAAATCAGCTGACAATCGTATGGATGCTCCATTGTAGGTAACTGTTTTTCTCTTGCTGCTTTTAATATTCTCTTTTTGTCTTTTGCTCTTGGCATTTTAATTATGATGTGTCTTGATGTGGTTCTCTTTGGATTACTTTTGTTTGGGGTTCTGTGCGCTTCCTGGACTTGTAAGTCTATTTCTTTCATCAGGTGGGGGAAGTTTTCGGTCACTATTTCTTCAAATAGGTTTTCAGTATCTTGCTTGCTCTCTTATTCTGGGACCCTCATAAGTCTGATGTTGGTATGTTTGAGGTGGTCCCAGAGGCTTCTTACACTATCTTCAACTTTTTTGGATTCTTTTTTTCTTTTTCTTTTTTTACGATATTCTTATTGATTTTTCACAGAGAGGAACAGAGAGGGATAGAGAGTTAGAAACATTGATGAGAGAGAATCATCGATCAGTTGCCTCTTGCACACCCCACACTGGGGATGTGCTCACAATCAAGGTACATGCCCTTGCCCTGAATCAAACCCGGGACCTTTCAGTCCCCAGGCCGACGCTCTATCCACTGAGCCAAACTGGTCCCGGCTGGATTCTTTTTTTCTTTTTGGTTTTCCAGTTGAGTGTTTTTTGCTTCTTTGTATTCCAAATCTTGACTTAGTTCCTGCAATCCTCTAGTCTGCTTTTAGGTCTCTGTATAATATTTTTTTATTTCAGTCAGTGTATGCTTAATATCTAGTTTATCCTTTTTCATACCCTCCAGGGTCTCATTAAATTTATCAGCCTTTTCTAGGAAATTCTTGAAAAACCTTATAACCATGCTTTTGAACTCTATATTCAGTTGTTTACTTTCTTCCATTTCCTTCACTTGTGGCCTGCCTCTTTGTCTCCACATTTTAGCTGCTTCCCTGAGTTGATGGAGTGACTTTGTGTGTTTGGTGTCCTAGCAAGGCCCAGGGGCTCAGCCTCCCCAGTTACCTGAGGTGGACACTCTTGGTGTGCCCCTTTTTGAGCTGTATGTGCAATCTTGTTGTAATTAAGCCTTGATTGTTGTTAGAATCACTGAGGGGAGTTTACCTCCAGGCCAATTGGCTACAAGGATCAGCTGTGTCTCCACTGAGAGAGCTTCTGTGCTAGCTTGGATGGGACAGAGTCTCAGAGCAAAGCAGACAGCCTTGGTTTCCAGTCAGCCCTGCCCTATGAGGCCCCTGGGTTTCAGTGTCCTGCAGCAATGGCTGCCTGCACCTCTGAGAGAAGGCTGCCCTCAAATTTCACCCATTGCCAGACAGTCCAGTTTCTCCCCAAATGAGCCTGGTACCCAAAGTCTCACCCGGAGCTGGACTTCAGTGCAGTCGGGAGGTTTTGTTTCCCTCCCGAACAAGAAAGCTAGCTGTACACTTGCTGCCCGCCCTCTCCAAGAGCCTCAAGTAAGCCAGCCACATACTCAGCTGCCTGCACTTTCCGTGCGTGCAGGTCTCTGTACCTCTGTCCTCCACAGCTCCTTTGGGTCTCAGTGTCCTTTTATCTTTCTTTCTAGTTGTAGAATTTCCTCTCAGCCAGCTTTCCGGTTGCTGTTTTGAAATTGTTGTTCAAGGGAGTAGTATAGGTGTTTACCTATGCTGCCATCTTGGTTTCTCAATAAAAATATTTTTTAAAAAGTGTTTTGAAAAAGAGAAGTATATGTCTATTATTTTGCTTTTTATCAATTCCCAGATGTTTCCCCACTTTGCTTTCTTTAGCCTCCCTAATCTATTACCAATGGATTTCACATAACTCTCATTTCCTCTTTTGATTGTAATGCATAAAATAAGGTGCAAAACTGCCATTCTCTGGAGCATTATCTCAATCCCTTGAGATTTTGCTTCCTGGCAATTATTGACAGTTTGACTCAAACTCCCAAAAATTCTTAACAGATTTTAATTTTTCTTACATTGACAATTTGTGTCATTTCCTTGAGAATGTCTTCCCTCTTGTTCCCAGGCTAGGTCAGTTTCTTTCACTGCATGACCTTACAGAACCTTGTTTCACTCTTTCAGAGCACTAGCCCCCTTTTCTAGGGTCTTTATTTGCCCATTGTCTGCAGGGGGGAAGGACAATGACTGTTCCACTCCGCAGTGTATCTCTAATGCCTAGCACAGCACATTGTAGGTGCTCAGTAAGTATATGTTGGATGACATTTTAAAATGCATGTCTTCTCAGACCCTACTATGCATCAATTCTTGTGTGTGGACCTTGAGAAGGAAGATGCCTATTAAGAAGTTGCTAACTGGGCTAACATTTAATAACAGAGCCTAAGCAGCCATTTCTACACAGGGGCCTTTCTCACCAACTGCACTTCAGGGAGAGGCCTGCACTAAGCTGTCTGCCTGCACTGTGTTCCTGCCAGCTGAGCCAGCGTCTACAAAGGAGTCAATGGAACCCTATTTTAACTGATAGAACTGCGATTTCCTCATCCAATCAGAACTGCATAGCTATAACTCCCCCCGCCCCCTACCCCATCATTTTCTTCATCAACTAATCAGAACAGCTCCATTCTGATCAATCAGGTCAATGCCTTTTGGACCAATCAAACTGTGCGGTTTTAGAGTCCTCATCTGCATGACAATGAACCAATCAGGAATGAGGAGTGTGGTCTTCTGTCTATATAAGCCCTCTTGCTCTAAGAGTGTACTCTTTCTTTTCACCAAGACTGAGAACTGTGTTTGTGGATTCCCTTTCCACTGAAGGCAGGGAGGGCTGTGCTTCTTTGGCTAGAGCTGAAAGATAAGAGAAACGCCAAAGATGTCTCAACAAAGCTACCACAATGTCTACCACAGAGCAAAGCAGCATGGAACAGTCCAGAGCAGGGCCGAACAGAGCTGTCTAACTGGAGAGGGGCCTGGCCCCAGATTATTTGGACTATTTTCACAGCCGTGCTGTGTCACAATTGAGCTGTTCACACTGAAATTGAGCTGTTTGCCTGGAATAAAGTTTCCTTCTTTGCTGCACCTTAAGTTGGGGATTCCTTTGGTGTTGAATTGATGCCATCAACCTTCAGTCGATATGTGTTGGGCCCTAAGATGTCCAGAGGTGAGTAAGACAGAAGCTTGATCTCAAGCAACTCCATGCAGGTTAAAAGCAATGGATACAGTATGGATTATGAAGACAAAGTTCTGCAACAGATAAGTAGCTAAATGAGAAGAGCAACATGCCTGAGGAATCAAGTAAAGGAAAGAAAAATCAATTCCAAATGGAGAAATCAATTCAATCAACATATATCTTTTTTTTAAATATATGTTTTTATTGATTTTAGAGAGAAAGAAAGAGGGAGAGAAACATCAATGATGAGAGAGAACCATCGATCTGCTTTTCCTGCAAACCCCTTTCTGGGCATTAAGCCACAACCTAAGCATGTGCCCTGACCTGGAATCCAGTGATCTCCTGGTTCATAAGTTGATGCTTAACCACTGAGCCACACTGGCAAGCTTATCAACATATATATTGAATGAATACATAGTTCTAAAAGTGTTTTAGGTGGTTGAGGTCATTGTAAGAATTTTCCAGGTGCAGAAAACAAGACAGGATGGTCAAATATCCTGCACAAAGTTACATAGCTACTCAGCAGGAGGAAAGAGATGTGAGCACAAGGCTGCCTGTGTCTGTGTTCTACTCACAGGCAAAGGCTCAGGAAGAAGTGGCCATTATGCCCAGCGTGAATGACAGGGCCAGATGTTGTATCATAAATCAGCCAGCTAGATACAAGATGCCTTAATGAGCCAATTAGTTAGGAATCATTTTTTTTTTAAATATATCTTATTGATTTTTAACAGAGAGGAAGGGAGAGGGATGAGAGAGAACCATCGATCAGCTGCCTCCTGCACATCTCCTACAGGGGATGTACCCGCAACCAAGGTACATGCCCTTGATCGCAAAAGAACCTGGGACCTTTCAGTCCTCAGGCCAACGCTCTATCCACTGAGCCAAACTGGTTAGGGCAGGAATCATTTTTATTACACGTGGGTTCAGAGCAGAATATCTCCGTCAAATTTTGAACAACCACAGGAAGGAGTATTCTCTTTTTATATCATTCTAGGTCTTTGTGTAAGTTATTTTTTGCAGACAGCTTTTAACCTTGAGTACATGTCTATACAGACACATATAACCTTGAGTACATATCTATATAGACACCTGGCATGGGAATATTATCAGTATCAGCGTATCAGCCCCTTACGTTAGATGGCTAGCTTGCAAGGTCAGACAGTTAAGTATATCTTTTCTATTATTTAAGTTAAAAAAAAAAAAAACAAAGTTATTTTTACAGAGTAAGAGGCAGTCTAAAAATAAGAGTTGACTTATGGAACAAGGGACTAGCAAGAAATAGCAGAGAACATCAAAACCGCAAGCCGCAGTTTTCCCACAGGAGGCCTCATTCCCCTGCTGCACGGGGATTACGAGGTTGCTTCTTCCTCTGACGGTGAACAGAGGGAGGGATTTCGGAGGTGAACAAAAGGAAGAAAGGACCTGCGAGCTGAGGGGGAGCCCAGAACCGTTTCCAAGGAAACAGTAACCGGTTCCCAGGCAGCTGAGATCTCGCGGTGCTTGGCCGGCGGAAGTGACGTCGCCGCGCCCTGGCTTTCCGGCGGCTCGCGGGCGCCCACCCCAGAGCGAGGCTCTTTCCCGCGGGGCCGGCTCGCCCCTCGGAGGCCGGGGAACATGGCCTCGGCGCTGGAGCAGTTCGTGAACAGCGTCCGGCAGCTCTCGGCGCAAGGTGAGGCCGGCGGCCGCAGCCCGCGCTCTCCGGGGCCGGCCGGGCCGGGGCTGCTCGCGGCCGCCGCGCGCAGGCCCGGGCGGGACCGGGCGCCGCCGAGCGGAGCCGCCCCTCGCGCACCCGGGCTCCTCGGCCTCCGCCGTCCGTGCGCTGGGCTCCCGGGCTCCCGGCCCGGGGCCTCCGGGGCCCGCCCGCGCCCCCGGGCGCCCCTTGCACCCCGGCGCTGCGCTTGACACTTTGGGGCGGTAACTTCCGTTGGCGCCGGTGCGGGCGCCCGTTGGTCCCCGCAGCCTCCCCGGCCGCGGTGATTGGTGCCCGGCCGCCCGCCCCGGAGGCCGCCCGCAGCCCCGGCGCCCCGCGCCCGGCTTATCCTGCAGAAGGCGGAGGAGCGGTCGCTCGGAGGCTCGGTGTCTAGGGTAGAATTGTGCCCGTTATCACTTTGCCCTTAATCTTCATGCTTTCGGGTTCATGCATCTCATCCCTCGGTGGAACCCTGGGCTCTGAATTAAAGTGATTGGTTGCTGGCTGGGGAGGCCCCTTCGCCATCCTGGTTCTTCGTCGGTGAAATAAAAGAAGCCCGCATCTCTTGGAGCGGCGAGGGCTGAGAGGGAGAAGCCGTGTGAAAGCGCCCGTCGTACGGGCGCAGTGAGCGGCTGCTGACTGTGGGCGGCGGGGGTTGTAAGTTCTAGGAGCTGCGTGACCTTGGGCAAGTCCCCTTTAGCGTCCAGTCTCCCTGTCTCCACTTGTCTCTACCTCGCTGCTGCTGTAAGGAGGAACTGTGCTGCCTCGGGTCCCGAATTTCTTATAGAAGTTAGTTAGGCTCACAGGCAAGGCCTGGACTTCCAGTCTGTGTGCATGAAGGAACCGCCATTCATTAGGACACAAACACTTCGTTCCGGCTTCCTGGGCTGCAGGTGCTTAGGTTGGGTTGGGTCCTGCCTCATTCACTTCGTGTCCAGGCCACGGAATTCCTCGGCTGCTGAGCACCCAGAGGGGGCACTCGGCCGGAAGCGGTGCCTGCTGCTCTCTCTGCGCAGGACAGAGAGGATGCAGTGCCTGCCCTGCCCTCCCGCCGCACAGCATCCCTCACGTGGATGCTTCCTCTGCTCCTTCAGCATTTCTTAACTGGAGCTTCAGGGAAGGGAGAGGGAGTTTTGCTGCCACGTCTCTAGGCGGCTCATTTCAGTGGGCTGGGACACAACTTCCTGTGGACTCTCCCCCTGGCCCTGCAGTAGTCGACTCTCATGATTTCATAATAGCCCAGCTTTTAAGTCTCAATTCAGCATTGATTATTTAATATTGGGGGGGGGGGGCGGATATGAACTGAAATGCTTATCATTGTAAACTTATTTCAAATAGTAGGCTTAAAAGGGGGCAGTCATTAACTGGCAGATGCTGCGGGTCCAGACATACCAGTGAGGTCTTTACTAAAGTGATAGTCGGTCTTTCTCAGTTCAACTTGTATTATTGTCTTGACAAATGATTCCTAATAGATTGTGGAAAGACAGTGAGGTGTGAGAGCACCTATGGTATGTCTATTATTAGAATAACCTGTTAAAATTGGTAAGTCTAGTTCACAGTGCCAGTTTGGGCCAATGTTATAACAACAGAATCTATACTTCTGTTGTTATAACATTGTGATGTAAAGGAAAGAAAAATGGGCCTTAGGAGAGTCATCAAGCTGCTTGCTGATTTTTATTTTTATTTATTTATTTATTTTTTAATATATTTTATTGATTTTTCACAGAGAGGAAGAGAGAGGGATAGAGAGTTAGAAACATCGATGAGAGAGAATCATCGATCAGCTGCCTCTTGCACACCCCCCACTGGGGATGTGCCCGCAGCCAAGGTACATGCCCTTGACCAGAATCAAACTCGAGACCTTTCAGTCCGCAGGCCGACGCTCTATCCACTGAGCCAAACCGGTCCCGGCATGCTTGCTGATTTTTAAAAAATAGATATATTTTATTGATTTTTCAAAGAGAAGAAGAGGGATAGAGTTAGAAACATCGATGAGAAAGAATCATCGATCAGCTGCCTTCTGGACATCCCCCAGTGGGGATGTGCCCTCAAAGTACATGCCCCTGACTGGAATCGAACCTGGGACCTTTCAGTTCCCAGACCAACGCTCTACCACTGAGCCAAACTGGTTTCGGCAAGCTGCTTGCTGATTGATTGGCTGTGTAAAAAGATATAAAGTTGAAGAAGGGACTCTTGTCACCTGAGTTTATGCTGAATTACCTGTTAGCCATGGGAAAGGAGGCAGTGAGGGTCCGGGAAGACAGGCCCACTGTAGAGCAGAGTGAGTCGGGTAGAGGAGGACACGGGGGAGAAGTGTGAAGGGAGGAACACGCAGCAGCATGGAGAAAAGCAGGTGCAGAGGCATAACGGTGAGAGAATAGGGAGTGTTGGTTGACTTTTGAGCTTGGCAAGACCAAAGACGAGGTGTGTGACGGGAAGTACAGGACATACGGCTGGGAGACAGGGACCAGTCACTGGCCTGAAGCATTTGGACTTCTTAAAACCATTGGAGTAATTGGATTGAATTTTTAAAAAATATATTTTATTGATTTTTTACAGAGAGGAAGGGAGAGGGAGAGCGAGCTAGAAACGTCGATGAAAGAGAAACATTGACCAGCTGCCTCTGCACACCCCCTACCACGGATGTGCCCCCAACCAATGTACATGCCCTCAACCGGAATCGAACCTGGGACCCTTCAGTTCACAGACCGATGTTCTACCACTGAGCCAAACTGGTTTTGGCTGAATTTTTCATTGTAGAAAGATCACACAGGCGCCAGTGTGAACTATGGGCTGGAGGAAAAAGTGGGCATTGACGTAGTTTAGATGAGAAATAAGGATATGAATTAAGTCGGGGGAAGGCGAAAGAAATGGAGCTGAGAGACGGGGAGTAAAAGGAAACCACCTTTGGTGACTGTGGCTACAGAGGGAGGGACTGGCAGTGACAGTAGGTGCACGGCTCTGGCTTGGGGAACAGGGGAATGGAGGGATGGAGAAACTTTCAGGGGCAGAGGGTGTGGGTCTAGTTCATTTCACTTCTCTGGCCCTTCTCCAGCCTCATCTGAATGAAGGCAACAGGAGGAATAATCTGGGCGTTTCTTGTCTGGGATAGGAAGGCTGTTATCCTCCTGGGTGGTCAGCGCTGTAACTGAACGAGTGTTATTCCTGTTTTTCAGGGCAGATGACTCAGCTTTGCGAGCTGATCAACAAGAGCGGGGAACTCCTTGCAAAGAACTTATCCCACCTGGACACTGTGCTCGGGGCTCTGGATGTACAGGAGCACTCCTTGGGCGTCCTTGCTGTTTTGTAAGGGAATCTGCTTGGATGCTTGCGCTTTCCAAACTGAACACTGTGCACTTTCTGACGTTATTTTTGGGGGCAGGAAGTAAGCCATGTAAACAACATGGAGTCCTTTTGCACGACTAAAGTCACGTCATAGTAGTTACATTTTACTTACCCCTACTAATCATTTTTAACTTGTGTTTATATTTATACACATTTTGAAGTTATTTTTAAAAATGAATGGCCATCTCACTTGTGGGCACTAGAGTTTGTATGTATCTGGATACTTTTACTCATGTAGTCCATGGGATTGCCCCCATTTCCTGGCTTGGAAATAAAGTAGCAAGAGTGATGAGCATGCATGGTTGTGTATATTGAGTGTAATTACCAGTGGCCAAAGCAACATTGTTTTGAATTCTCCAACTTTTTATTAAATATTGATTTCAGAGAGGAGGAGAGAGAAATATTAATGATGAGAGAGAATCATTGATCAGCTGCCTCCTGCACACTCCCCACCAGGGAGGGACCCAGCCCACAGCATGTTCCCTGACTGGGAATCAAACCATGGCCTCCGGGTTCATAGGTTGACAAGTTTAAGATCAAGTTAAATAGACTTTAGCAAGGAACCCAATTAAATAGACCTTGTTTTAATTGGGTTCCTTGTAACTTTGGGTACCTTACAGTAGAATTATTTTTCTCTTGGTGTTGTAGTATTAAAATTGGGATATTAAGGTTGTTGTGAAAGTTGTAATAATATATATAAAACGAGAAGAACTAAGAGTGAGGGTCTGCCCTACCTGGACTGGGATCCCTGAGGCAAAGGTAGGGGGCAAGAAGAGAATTTAAAGAAGAAACTCCGAATGGAAGGTCTAGGGTAGTGGTCGGCAAACTGCGGCTCTCGAGCCACATGTTGCTCTTTGGCCCCTGTAGTGTTCTAACGCCACTTCTTCATAATAGACTCGCCCCGGCTGAAAACTGACTTCTGCGCGTGCACCACGAAGCTTCCATCGCGCTGGACGTGCGCGCCTGCAGTGGTATTTCGTGGAAGAGCCACACGAAGGGGCCAAAGAGCTGCGTGTGGCTTGCGAGCCGCGGTTTGCCAACCTCAGTCTAGAGCATGGGTGGAGATCCTTTTTTCTGGCAAGGGCAATTTGGATATTTATAATCATTTGCCAGCCATACAAAATTATCAACTTAAAAATTAGCCTGCTCATCCCTAGTGCCTCGCAGGGCCAGACCAAATGATTTCATGGCCGGTGTTCCCCGCCCTGGTCTAGAGCTGTGCTCTGCAATACAGTAGCCACTAGTGACATCTGTGTAAATGACTTTTAAAAAGTTAAAGATTCGGTTGCACTAGCCACATTGCAAGTCCTCAGTCGCCACACTGGCTGCTGTGGCGGCACTGCGCTGGGAGGCGAGTCCCGGGTGCACGTGGCAGAGGCTGGGAAAGGCGTCTGCTGTCGCTGTCCGCTGAGGAAGAGGACAGAATGCATGCTGCTGTCTTTTTATTTCATTCGTTTTAGCATGTGTTTATACACATAAATTCACATTACATGTACAGGATGGGCAAAAGTAGGGCTACAGTTGTGAGTACACAAAACAGCTGCTGCTTGTATTTAAGTAAAAGGAAACCTGAAGAGCCCTGACTCGTTCTGTGTGCCCGGATTTGAATTATGCTCTTCCATTATTAGGTATGGCGTCCCGGGTTTTTATTCGTGAGCGGGACGTGACAGTGCCTTATTAACTTATTGTGGAGCCCTGATGAAATTGATTCAGACATACTTGATAATGGGGAAGTACAATGACAGGTGATGTTAAGTCAAGTAATACTGAACTGGATAGAAGTACAAATTGAAAGATTTTAGAGAAATTGTGAATTAGTTTCAAGAGTTCATTTTTTTACTAAAAAGAAGAGCTTGAAGTTGACTTGTAAACAGTGCCTCAGTGGTGGTAGCTTATGTGATCTCTTCCCCAAAACCTATCTTTGAACCTTCTGTCCCCCCATCCTCCCAAGTGTTTATTGTGAGCAATTGGGAGGCATCATCTGCCAAAGGCATCATGAGTCCTCCCTCTTCCCCGCACCTCCAGTTCATCCTGTCCTGCTTATCAGAAAGTGTTTTCTCCCAGAGGGACCATACATCGCCCGCACCTGGCCATAGCCTTCTGTCCATCGCTCTAGTTCCTTGTCCTGCCCAGCCTGTTACCTTCAGGGCAGGAACAGCAATAACTGGCTTTTAAGTTGAATAAATAATCCTGACCACATTGGAACTGAAAAGGAAAATATTATTTTAAACTTTAGGTTATAAGTTTATATTGAGTTCCTTTACAAATACTAGGAAGACCTGATATTTGGCCTCATTTAATGGAATTTTTCTTTTTTTCTTTAATATATTTTTTTATTGATTTCAGAGAGGAAGGGAGAGAGATCAAAACATCTATGATGAGAGAGAATTATGGACCGGCTGCCTGTTGCAAGTCCCCAACTGGAGATAGAGCCCACAACCCGGGAATGTGACCTTGACCGAAATTGAACCTGGGACCTTTCAGTTTGAAGGCCAACACACTATCCACTGAGCCAAATGGCTAGGGCTGGACTTTTTCTTTTTAAAAGCTGTTCTTTTCTAAGCATTTTTAAAACATCTATGTTCTGTCTTGATTGTGCATACAAACAAAACAAAACAAAAATACAGGCCAGGAAAATCTCATAGATCCTGTTCTTAAATTTTAAAAATACTGAGACACATTTAATTCACAGAGCATTGAAGGTAGGATGGATTTCTGCCCTCAGTTGCTTTTACTTTTTCACCCCGTGAAATATCAAGATAAATTGATTTTTTCCCTTTATTTCAGATTTGTGAAGTTTTCTATGCCCAGTGTTCCTGACTTCGAAACATTATTCTCACAGGTTCAGCTTTTTATCAGTACTTGTAATGGGGAGCACATTCGATATGCAACAGACACGTGTAAGCTAAACTGCATTTTGCTATTTTCCACTGAGTGTATTTTGCCTGTCTGGTCATTTATATTTTTAATATTTTGTTATTGTATCTAGTTGCTGGGCTTTGCCATCAGCTGACAAATGCCCTTATGGAAAGAAAACAGGTAAGCAATGTTATTCAAGTGTTTGTAGTTCTGTTATAACATACTAGAGGCCAGGTGCACAGATTCGTGCACCGGTGGGACCCCTCAGCCTGGCCTGTGCCCTCTCACCATCCGGGACCCCTCGGGATGTTGGACTGCCAGTTTCGGCCCTGTCCCTGCAGGCCAGGGCAGAGGACCCCACTGGTGCATGCACCGGGCCTCTAGGATACATATAAGATTTTTGGTTAATCTCTTCCTGCCCTCCCCGCAACCCATTTCTCTCTAAGATTCATCAGTCTGTTCCATGTTTCCAAGCCTGTGAGTTGAGCAACTGTCCCCTGGTGGTTGGGTGTGACAAACAGTTGCTTAGGTTTTTATATATATAGAAGATATCTAGCTTAGACACTGAACTAATTTGCTAAGGTTCCAGGTTAGTACTAAGAGCCCTACCACTTAGATGTAGGTGGTCACTTCATAACATTTGCGGTAAGAACAGCTAGTCCCTCCGCAGGTGTAGACTCCAGTGCAAGGAGAGGCCAGCCTCTGGGCCTGCAGCCAGGGGTGATGGTTTGGGAGCTCCTGATCTAGTGTCCTTTGCATGGTAATATGCTGGGTTTTGTTTGCTAAAACTTTATACACTTTTTAAAAATATATATATATTTTATTGATTTTTTTTACAGAGAGGAAGGGAGAGAGAGAGTTAGAAACATCGATGAGAGAGAGTCATCGATCAGCTGTCTCTTGCACGCCCCCCATCGGGGACATGCTCGCAACCCAGGTACATGCCCTTGACCTGAATCGAACCCGGGACCCTTCAGTCCGCAGGCCGATGCTCAATCCACTGAGCCAAACCAGTTTCGGCAAACTTTATACACTTTTAATTGTAACATAATTTTAGCTTTATAAAGAGTTGCAGGAATAATATAAACAATTCCCATATACCCTGCACCCAGATTCTCCAGATATTAATATCTTACACAAGTTGCTTATCCTTTCTCTCTCTTTTTTCCTGAGCCATTGGAAAGTGAACTGCAGAGAGGATGGCCCTTGAGTGTTGCCTAAAAAATGGGACATTGTCTTATATAACCACAATACAAAGATCAACCTCAGGAGATGAGCATTGACATAATTCTTTAGCAAATATGCTGACCTTACTCCCGTTTGCCAATAGTTTTATTAATTTATTTATTTATAACAAAAGAAAATCTCAGTTGATGGTTTGTGCTACATTGTCACACAACTTTTATTTCCTTTAATCTGGAACAGTTCTTTGGTCTTTCTTTAATTTTGTGATATTGACACAAGTTACAATTTGGGTGTTTCTTTTTGATTTGGAATTGAACTTCAAGACTAGTTGTTTGAAGGAGACTGAAACAGAAATAACCAGTTGGTGTTTTTTAGAACTGAGTAAGTGGTGGTTTGAAAGAGAGTGTAAAAAAAACTGCCAACACCCTTTACTGAAAAACCATTTATGGTTATTCAGCACTTTAGTCACATCTCCTGTCCCGAAACTGACTGTACCTTACTTGAAACTCAGTCTTGTTATTTATAACCAGGTCTCTTTATAACTGGTCACATCAGTTTCAGGAGTAATTTATTATCAGGTAAGAGGTGATGTTGGAGAACAATTCCAGATGATGCCTAGCTCCCTGAGGGGGAAATGTCAGCGTCCCTGAACACAGGCTGTCATCTGTCTTAAATGATTTGTTTATTTAGATGGAAATATAATGAACTGTTGAGAGGAAGTAATGTTGCTTTTGATGATTTATCTTCATTGTAAAAAAGGCTTTATGGTTTAAGAATGGTGCTGAATTACTCTAAATGTCACAAGAAACAGCGTAAGAAAACACTTCTGACTGAATTGGGACAGCCCTGAAGAGTATGGAAACCTCATATTGTCATTCAAAGAAACCTGTCAATCAGTGTTATTTTTTATTTGTAAGTGACAACATAAGATCCAATGTGCTGCCATCTCTGAGAACTTATCTGAAAGAGGTGTCGTTTCTGACAGCCCCTGCGAGGAATCGGCATCCTCAAGCAAGCCATAGACAAGATGCAGATGAACACGAACCAGCTGACCTCGGTGCACGCCGACCTCTGCCAGGTGAGTGGCGGGCGGGCGGGCGGGCGGGCGGCGTCGGGATGGAAGATTGGTTGCAGTTTTGCTCAACATCAGATTAGATAAATGAAGCGATTCGGTGGAGACTGCTATCTTCCAGCAGTTGATACACATAGTGCTTCTGTCTGTAGAAAGGGGATTTTCAACAGTTTTTGGATACAAACTATTGAACAGGGTTCAGCTAGTAGGCTTGGTAGAACAGAGTAGTTAACACTTCAGATATTTAAAAAATGCCAAGTTATTTTCTTTTTTAAGGAATCTTGAAACCTGAGAATAAACACAGGTAACTTTATACCTTAAAATGTTATTTATTTTAGCCGAAACCGGTTTGGCTCAATGGATAGAGCGTCGGCTTGGGGACTGAAGGGTCCCGGGTTCGATTCTGGTCAAGGGCATGTACCTTGGTTGCGGGCATATTCCCAGTGGGGGGTGTGCAAGAGGCAGCTGGTCGATGACTCTCTCTCATCGGTGTTTCTAGCTCTCTATCTCTCTCCCTTCCTCTCTGTATAAAATCAATAAAATATATTTTTTTAAAAATGTTATTTATTTTAACATATTTTATTGATTTTTTTTTTTACAGAGTGGAAGGGAGAGGGGTAGAGAGTTAGAAACATTGAGAGAGAAACATGGGTCAGCTGCCTCCTGCACACCCCCTACTGGGGATGTTCCCATAACCAAGGCACATGCCCCTGACCGGAATCGAACCTGGGATCCTTGAGTCCGCAGGCCGACGCTCTATCCACTGAGCCAAACCAGTTAGGGCAAAATGTTATTTATTTTATTGCACATGGTTCAAAATCCAGCAGGCAAAATTAAGTCCCCTACCACCCTCCCTCACAGCCACCTCTCTCTCCAAAGGCAGCCAGTGTTAGTTTCTTGTTTATCCTTCCAAAGATATTTTATGAATGTACAAGCAAATATGGCTTTTTTTTCCCTCTCTTTTTATTTAATCTTCACTGGAGGAAATGTTTTTATTGATTTTAGAGAAAGAGGAAGGGAGAGAGAGAAACACTGCTGTGTAAGAGAAACATTGATCAGTTGTCTCCCATACATGCCCAATTGGGGATCAAAGCTGTGACCTAAGTATGTGCCCTGGCTGGGAATTGAACCAGCAGCCTTTTGGCGTACAGGCCAGCACTCCAACCAACTGAGTCACTTGCCAAGTCTGTCTCTTTTTTTATACACATTGTAATAATTTGTATGAATAATTATATACAATACATTGCTTTTTTGCTTTTTCATTCCCTTGCTTTTTTTTTACTTAATGTGTCTATTTTTTGTTGTTTTGTTTTTGTTAATTCTCACCCATGGATACTTTTCCATTGATTTTTAGGGAGAGTGGAAGAGAGAGGGAAAGACAGAGAGAAACATCGATGTGAAAGAGACACATCGATTGGATGCCTCTGGCATGCACACTGACCAGGCCCAGGCCAGGAAGGAGCCTACAACTAAGATATGTGCCCTTGTCCAGAATCAAACCTGGGACACTCTGTCCACTGAGCCAAACTAGTTAGGACAATTTATCTTTTTTTTTCTTTTTTTAAATATGTTTTTTATTATTGACTAGTAGCTCATTGCAGAAAGATTCCTGCAATAGGGATTCCTGCTGTGCTCTCCCCTTCCCCGCCCGCTTCTCCCCTTCTCCCCTTCTCCCCTCCCGCTTCCCTTCCTTCTCCCCTTCTCCCCTCCCCGCCTGCTTCTCCCCTTCTCCCCTCCCCGCCTGCTTCTCCCCTTCTCCCCTTCTCCCCTCCCCGCCTGCTTCTCCCCTTCTCCCCTTCTCCCCTCCCCGCCTGCTTCTCCCCTTCTCCCCTTCTCCCCTCCCCGCCTGCTTCTCCCCTTCTCCCCTTCTCCCCTCCCCGCCTGCTTCTCCCCTTCTCCCCTCCCCGCCTGCTTTTCCCCTTCTCCCCTTCTCCCCTCCCCGCCTGCTTCTCCCCTTCTCCCCTCCCCGCCTGCTTCTCCCCTTCTCCCCTTCTCCCCTTCTCCCCTCCCCGCCTGCTTCTCTTCCTTCTCCCCTTCTCCCCTCCCTGCCTGCTTCTCCCCTTCTCCCCTTCTCCCCTCCCCGCCTGCTTCTCCCCTTCTCCCCTCCCCGCCTGCTTCTCCCCTTCTCCCCTCCCCGCCTGCTTCTCCCCTTCTCTCCTCCCCGCCTGCTTCTCTTCCTTCTCCCCTTCTCCCCTCCCCGCCTGCTTCTCTTCCTTCTCCCCTCCCCGCCTGCTTCTCCCCTTCTCTCCTCCCCACCTGCTTCTCTTCCTTCTCCCCTTCTCCCCTCCCCGCCCGCTTCTCTTCCTTCTCCCCTGCCCCACTTGCTTGCTTGCTTTTCCACAGCTTCGTTCCCTTCTGCCTTCTGCATCCCTTGGCTTCTTTCTATGCTGTCTTGATATGCAAATCAACCGCCATCTTGGTTGGGTTAATTTGCATACTCGCCCTGATTGGCTGGTGGGTGTGGCTTGGTGTAGCAAAGTTGCAATCAATTTGCATATTACTCTTTTATTAGGTAGGATTTTAGAGGGAGAGAGAAAAACATCAATGTAAGAGGGTAACATCGATAGGCTGCCTCCTGCACGCCCTCTATTCGGATGGAGCTCCTAACTGGAGTATATGCCTTGATCAGGAATTGAACCAGCAACCTTTGAAAGCAAGGGACAACTCTCAACTAACAGCCACACTGGCCAGGGCTCTACTTAAACTATCTTAGGGATGGTTCCATATCAGTGGTTTATAGCTGCAGAGTATTTCATAATATGGGTTTAACCAGTTCCCATAGGGTATTGAGATTGTTTCCTTCATGAATAACATGGTTTGTGGCTTATTTCAATCACATGTTCTAGTTTCAAAGAAGGTGTGCTTTTTCCATTTTTTATTTTTTAGGAAATGTTTGTGATTGGTGTATGAAGTACATTAAGTGCTCTGTAGTAAGTGAATAGTTAGCTCGGCGAGTTGGCACGCTGTCTACACCGGTGCCACATCACCCACATACAGGACGTTGCCATGTACTTGCACAGTTTCTTACGCTTATGTAAAGAGTTTAGAAATGAAAAAGTATAGTTAAAGAAAAAGCTTCCATTTTTAATCATAGCATGCTGATCTGTTTCTGTGATTAGTTTAGCAAAGAAAAAAGGACTCACTTGTTTGCATATCTATGACAGAATGGTTACTAGGTGAATTGTTAGCTGAACTTTAATTCATTTGTGGCATACTGAATCTCATGGTTGGTTCATTCTTTATAAAGAAGTGCTATTAGCCTTGCTGGTGGTTAAGCATTAACCTATGAACCAAGAGGTCGGGGTTCAATCCTGGTCAGGACACGTGGCCAGGTTGCCGGCTCCTGGGGAGCATGCAGGAGGCAATTGATCAATGATTGTCTCATCATTGATGTCTCTCTCTCTCTCTCCCTCTCCCTTCCTCTCTGAAATCATTAAAAAAAAATAGTTTAAAAAACAACAACAACAACTTATTCAGAATGCTTAAGAAAATAGAGTAGCCGAGACCGGTTTGGCTCAGTGGCTAGAGCGTCGACCTGCGGACTGAAGGGTCCCAGGTTCGATTCCATTCAAAGGCATGTACTTGGTTGCGGGCACATCCCCAATAGGGGTGGTGCAAGAGGCATGATCAATGATTCTAACTCTCTATCCCTCTCTCTTCCTCTCTGTAAAAAATCAATAAAATATATTAAAAAAGAAAATAGAGCCCAAAACCGGTTTGGCTTAGTGGTAGAGCGTCGGTCTGCGGACTGAAAGGTCCCAGGTTCGATTCCAGTCAAGGGCATGTACATTGGTTGCGGGCACATCCCTGGTAGGGGGTGTGCAAGAGGCAACTGGTCGATGTTTCTCTCTCATCGACGTTTCTAGCTCTCTATCTCTCTCCCTTCCTCTCTGTAAAAAAATCAATAAAATATATTTTTAAAAAAAAGAAAAGAAAATAGAGTAATATGTTGATATGTGGATCCTTTTAATTAATAAATAAAATATGAAAATGTAAAACAATGTTCTTTCACAGCTTTGTTTGCTAGCAAAATGTTTTAAGCCTGCCCTTCCATATCTTGATGTGGACATGATGGATATTTGTAAAGAGAATGGAGCCTACGACGCGAAGCATTTTTTATGTTACTATTACTATGGGGGCATGATCTATACGGGGCTGAAGAACTTCGAAAGAGCACTCTACTTTTATGAGCAGGTAATCTCACCTCCAAGCGGGCGTTCTGAGCTTGTGTGGTCAAAGCGATGCCCGCCTGGAGCAGATCGATTTCGGGCTCTGCGTACAGGGGGAGGTCCTGTCAAAGGCCCCTGCTCAGTGACTGTGCACACCTAGCATGTCAAACTCAACGGCTAACACGGGCCAGGTAAACCAGGCTGCAGAAAACCCCAAAGGCTTCCATTTTATAGAAACATAGGCTTATTTCAGTAAGAGACATGCTGAATACAAAGGGCTGAAATAAATGTCATCGTTAACATAAAATAATAGAACATCTTAATGAAAATTAATATTTTTATCTTGAATGTTAACTTACCAGACACTGAATAACTGCACAAATTAATAATCATAACACAAATAAGCCTATTTTTCTTGTTCTCTGAAAGCGGAGTATTTTCTGTTGTGCACACCAAGCAAGTCAGTCCAAGACTAATGACGACGTGACCATCGGCTGCTAAAATATTCACTGCCAGTATTAGTGGACAGAAATGGTGCACCTGTGCGTAAGGGAAATGAATGCAACACGATTATAGTCATCAATCATTAGCAAATGTAGTTAATAATTATGTATAATAGGATATTGTAAAAATTAAATTATGCAATTTTTATTAAAACATTTCTTATATACCATTATATTGGCTGGGCTGCAAAAATATTCATTGTGGGCCAGATGCGGCCCTCGGGCAGCGAGTTTGACATGCTTGGTGTCCACGGTGGTGAAGAGCACTGCTGGTAGGATCTGACCTGGCTGTGCCGTCTAATCCAGGTTCAGTTGTAGATGTCTCAACCTTCATAGCTTCCTTTGCATGTAGATAAGAGTTTGAACTGAATCATCTTTGAAGTGTCTTGTTCTAAAGCCATATGTGGTGTTTTAAGTTTTATTGTAATACCGTATTTTCCAGCGTATAAGACGACCCCCTAATTTTATAGTTAAAACATAGGTTTAGGCCTATATTCGCTGTATAAGACTACCCCCCACACACACACACTTCAAAGAAAAGACTTACTTTGCCGTCAAGATCTGCATGTAATTTTTGTGCAATATTGTTCTTTTGCCCCCGATTTTCGGTTGACTTTTTCGTTTCAAAAGTCGTCTTATACTCCAGAAAATACGGGTAAGTAAAATATTTCCATGGTTGAAATTCAAAGGATATTAAGTATGCACAGTGGAAAATCCCACTCCTTTGTCTGTGTCTGTAATAGCCAGGAGTATGCAGTATGACACTGCAGCTTGGTGTAACAGTCAGTTTTCCTTAGAGTTTAAAGGAGAATACAATGCAGGGGGCAGGAGTAGGTGTCCAGCTCTGAGTACACAAAACGGTTTATTCTTGTATTATTACTTATTAATTATTGTATTCATTTCCACATGATCTGTAAACATATTTTTGCCCTATCCTATATTTTCCAGTACTAGTGTCTTAAGGTGTTTATCATATGTCAGTTCTTATTTTATTCATAGCTCAAAATAATGAAGGCTATTTAAACCTTCAAGGAGCTTACCATTGAGCTGAAACACTAATAGGTGAACACACCGCACACATCTGTGGCTGAGCATTGCCTCCGTGAGGGAGGTTGACAAGGACCACCAAGAGAACCTAGGGAAGGGTCTGGAGGTGCTGGAGCGTGAAGGATGTTTGTAGGCAGGTAACATCTTCAAGAGGACACAGTCCAAAATTTCAGTTCCACCCAGCCTGTGTGGTCCAGTGGTTGAGGATCGACCCATGAACCCGGTCTCAGTTGGATGTCCAGTCGGGGCATGTGCCTGGGTTGCAGGCTTGTTCCCCGGTATGGGGCTTGCAGGAGGCAGCCAGCTGATCAGTGATTCTCATCATTGATGTTTCTGTCTCTCCCTCTCCCTTCCTCTCCGAAATCAATAAAAATGCATATTTTTTAAAAATTCAATTTTTCAGAAAATTATAAGCACACTTCATAGCCACTGAATGCATTATCATTGTATAGCCCAGTATAATAAGTGATTAGCATACTGATCTAGAAATATCAAGATGATAGGCAATGCATTTAGAAAAATGGTACCATCAAATAGTTAAAATATTAAAAACAAGCTATTTATAGGTGGAAGCCTTTTACCTGAAAATATTCCCTGATTTACCCTAAGGACAATTACTGTTTATTATTAGTCTACTCCATGCCACTGTGTGGGGGTTTTTGTTGTTGTTAATCCTCAACCGAGGATATTTTTTTATTGATTTTTAGAGAAAGTGGGCGGGGGAGAGACAGAGAGAAACATGGATAGAGAGAGACACATCCATTGGTTGTCTTCTACAGCCAGGGATCATTCAAGCCTGCAGCTGAAGTATCATACATGTCCTTGATTGGAATCAACCTGAGACCCTTCAGTCTGCAGGCAGACGCTCTATCTACTGAGCCAACTGCCTAGGGCAAGCCACTGTGTTGTAGTAATATGCATGCCATTATAGATGGGATTAGTACCTTAATTTCAGAAGGTGATACAGTTATATTACCAGTTCAAAAAAATTCCAAAAGGACGCACCTATTGGAAAAAATTCAGTATAGCAAAAAGTGAAATATCTGTCTCCTCATATTGCACCACAGACTGGCCCAGGTAGTGGCTGGTCCTCGATGGGCAGAACAAAGTTGATTCTGTTCTTTCACTGCGAGAGCAGGTGCAGGGGCCGTACTTGTATTCTCATGTGCTTAGGGGACTGGTTCTGTAGAATAATCTCAAAGAAGTGCCTCAGTCTCAGTGGGTTGAGTTTTGCTGTGAAATATTGGGTTGGTTGGCTGTGATAGTGTTCAGTTCTTCTTAACCTTCACAAATGCAGGCGAGAAAGTGAAAAGGCAGCCGCAGAACATGTTTCTAAGAGACTTTCATCCAGAACATACAAAGACCTCTTAACAAATCAACAGCAAAAACAAAAATTCCTAAATGGGCAATGAACTTGCATAGACATTTCTCCAAAGTTATACAAATAACCAATATGCACATGAAAAGATACGCATTAGCATTAGTCATCAAGGAAATAGAGACCAAAAGCACTCTGACACAGGGTGCCTGCATTAAAAAAATAGCAACAAGGATAAATGCAGTGAAGTGTGGAGGATTTGGAGCCCTCACAATTGCAGCAGAACTATAAAATGGTAGTCGCTTTGAAAAAGAAATTAAGGTACTAATTCCATCTATAACCATGTGACACAGCGGTTCACTTCTAGGAATATATACCCAAGAGACATGAAGACAAATGTTCACACAGAAACGTGTACTCAGATGTTCATAGCATCATTGCTTACAGTGGCCAAAGGCAGAGACACCCAAATGCCCACCAGCTGAGGAGTGAGTAAACAAAAACGTGAAACATCCATGCAGTGGAATGTTCACCATGAAATGGATAAGGTATCCACAGCATGGATGAACCTTCACAGCTCAGCTAGCCACAAAAGGCCGCATACTCCTGGTGCCATTTATAGGAAATGCCACATCAGGCAAAGCCATAGAAACAAATAGGACAGTGATTGCCTGGGGCTAAGGGGAGGAGAGAATGGGGTGCTGCAGATGGATGTGGGTTCCTTTTGTGATGGATGACTGTTCTGAAGTTAGGTGGTGGGGATAGTTATACAGCATGGGGAATATTCTAAACCACTGAGCCGCCTCTAAGAGGGGAAATGTTATGTAGGTGAATTGTATCTCTATAAAGATGTTATAAAGAAAATAGGACATTGGGTGTAAGTATTGTTTTATAATTAAGGCAATACCTGTAGTTGATTGTCCTTTTCTGCTACAGTGTGCTGTCCTCACATTCAGTGTTCTTCTCTTGCTCAGGCTATCACTACCCCTGCCATGGCGGTCAGTCATATCATGTTGGAATCATATAAGAAGTATATTCTAGTTTCTTTGATATTACTTGGAAAAGTACAACAGCTACCAAAATATACATCTCAAATTGTGGGTAGATTCATTAAGGTGAGTTTTTAAAATAAAACTGCTTTCTTAAGTCCTTAAGGAAATGTAATGATGATTTTATTTCATACTAATTTAATTCTTCAACAGCTTCAGGTTAGGGACATTGGTTCACTGTCCGAGGGCCTGGGACCAGTGGTGCTGGCAGCACCTCTGACTCACTCCTGTCACACACCACACCGCTGGTCACCGACTGGAGGAGAGTGTTTCTCAGGAACCTGCCTCACACTCACAGCTGTAGATGTCTGAGCTCCGATAAGCGTTGATTTTTCCCTCACACTCACAGCTGTAGATGTCTGAGCTCCGATAAGCGTTGATTTTTCCCTCACACTCACAGCTGTAGATGTCTGAGCTCCGATAAGCGTTGATTTTTCCCTCACACTCACAGCTGTAGATGTCTGAGCTCCGATAAGCGTTTTTTCCCTCACACTCACAGCTGTAGATGTCTGACTCCGATAAGCGTTGATTTTTCCTTTCATTATAATGTGAAATGCTAGAAAAGCAGTGAGATGGCATTGGTGCTGGGAGATCATGTGAAGACGACGGTTCTGCTCATGGAATTTGTGTGTTCCTTGAGAATCCAACTTTGGGACCACATTAAAAATAAATTAATTCTTTAAAAATATTTTGAAATACATGCTCACAATTTAAAAAACATTTGAACAGCCTTGGCCGGTGTGTATCAGTGGTTGAGCATCAACCCATGAACCAGAAGGTCAGGGTTCAATTCCTGGTCAGGGCACATGTTCCATCCCCAGTTGGGGGTGTGCAGGAGGCAACTGATCGGTGATTCTCTTTTCATCGATGTTTCCATCTTTTTCTCTTCTCTCTGAAATCAATAAAAACACATTTTTAAAAATGGAACAGTTTAAAAGATGGTGAGATCACAATCTTTTCCCCCCCCTTTTTTAACATAATCCTCAACCAAGGATATTTTTTCCATTGCTTTCTGGAGAGAGAGAATGAAGGGAGGAGAGGGAGAGAGAGAGAGAGAGAGAGAGATGAATGATGATGTGTGCGAGACCCATTGATTGATTGCCTCCCACACTCGCCCCTACTAGGGCTGAGGAACCTGCCACCAAAGTGCATGCCCTTGATTAGGAATCGAACCCAAGACCCTGATCACTGAGCAATACAAGCCAGGGCAGGTCACAATCATTTAATACAATTTTGCCCTGTTTGTCCCTGTACAAAAGTCAGATGTCAGGGTATCAGTTTGTCATCTTTCCAGCGAGAAAATGCCTACGTTGCCTTGAAGAAGAGAGCCAGTGATCCACCTGAGAGCCTCTGTGGTTCTCGAGCTCTAGGCCGCCTGGTCACGACCGGCGGTGGCGTGAGGTGGGGGTGAGAGCCCATGGGAGAAGGAGCAGGAGAGGATAGGGTTGCCGTTCGCAGGTCACTTTGGAGAACTGCCACGGTCCTTTTAGGTGGCCCTGTTTTAGAAGGAATGCTTTGATTTTTTAAATTTTATTTTAAATATGTTTTTATTGATTTCAGGGAGGGAGAAAGAGAGAGAAAAATCAGTGATGAGACAGAATCATTGATCGGCTGCCTCCTGCAGGCCCCCTACTGGGGTGTGAGCCCGCAGCCCAGGAATTGAACCGTGATCTCCTGGTTCATGGGTCGATGCTCTACCACTGAGCCTCCCTGGCTGGGCGGAAATGCTTTTCTACAGGGACGTGGCTCTACAAGCAGCAGTTTATTTGTGATGGTGTCATAGCTGGCTGAAAAGACCACAAACGTTTACGCCTGTGCTCATAACCACGTTCTCGTGGACCTCTGCCCCGTTTACAAGGTGGTGTGTGAGGTAAAATACCAAAGCAGTGCAGGCTCTCCGGGCCTCGCCACCATCAGTTGTCTCGTTCCTGTCTTCCTTCTTGTCAAAAGTAGCCGATTGCCCCTAGGGAGATGGAGATGTGTGCATAAAATGTGAGAGAGAGTGGAGAATAGTGAAAGTGCCACTTTCTTCCCAGTAGAAGAAGGAGCCACCAATGGGGGGAAAGATGTGTGTGTCTTCACCAGGTGCAGTGCCCTCGCACCTGCTGTGCAGTTACTTGTTCTGGGCCACAGAGTTCTTCGTATAATAGATCACTCCAGAGGGAAAATTTCTCCTTGGTCTTCACTGAGCCTTTGTTGGGTAGGTTATAATTTGTTAGGTAACAGTAAAGCGAATTGGATGTACTTACTCAAAAAACAATGCCCATGTTTTGTTTTGCTTCCTGAATAAATTTGACTCCTCTAACATTTTAATCTGATTTTCCCCTTTAAACCTTTAGCCTCTTAGTAATGCATACCACGAGTTAGCACAAGTTTATTCAACCAATAACCCCTCAGAACTCCGCAACCTGGTGAATAAGCACAGCGAAACGTTTACTCGTGACAACAACATGGGCCTGGTGAAGCAGTGCTTGTCCTCGCTCTACAAGAAGAACATTCAGAGGCTGACCAAGGTGAGGCCGGCCCCAGGTGCCCTCTCCTCCCCCTTCTCGGTGCTGGGGCCCCAGCTGCAGAGATGCCATGCACAGGATTGCCCGCCTGGAGCCGCACACTGAGCACTTGGTGGTCTTCGGGGCTAGCGCAGGGCATGGAGATGAGGAGGCGTGAGGAGGAGGACGGGCGGGCTGCTCTGGGAGCAGAGGAAGTAGCCTGAGAGCTAGCCCGTCCCGTGGGCAGCGGGGCTCCGTGGAACAACGCAGGTGGGCGTCCTCGTGAGTCCGGGGCCGCCAGGCTGTGCTGGTCTGTGTGAACACAGCACGGACGCTAGTGACCGCTCAGGCCACAGGAAGAAGCTGTGTTATATAATTCTTGTTTGCAAAGGGATGTTTTTTGTATATAGAAAGTTTTTTTGTTTTTGTTTTTTTTAAATTTTAACAACCTATTTTATTTAATCCAGTATAAAAATGATTAAATTTTACTTTTTTTTATTTTTTAAAGAATTCTGTGGAGGATAATGAACTCCAGGTCAGGGATTTTTTTAAAATCCTCAACCAAGGATATTTTTTCTATTGATTTTTTAGAAAGAGTAGGAAGGAGAGAGAAGGGGAAGAGAGAGAGAAAAACAACATTGATGTGAGAGAGACACATCGACTGGTTGCCTCTCGAATGTGCCCCAACAGAGGGTGGGGAGCAAACCTACAACCCAGGTACATGCTCTTGACTGGAAATCAAACCTGCAACCCTTGGGACTGTGGGATGATGCTCTAACTACTGAGCAACCAGCCAGGGCTACCTTCTTTTTAAAATATTATTTTTCTTGTATGAAGTCTTTGAAATCTGGAAGAGTGTTCATATTCAGGGCACACGTCGACTTGGCTAGCCACATTTCTTTTTTTTTTTTTTTTTTTTAAATAAGTTTTTATTCATATTATTACAAATGTTCCTTCCCCCCCCCCCCCACCATTGCTCTCCTCCACCAGGTTCCCACCCCACCCTCTGCCCTTTCCCCACTCCCCATTGTCCTCATCCATAGGTGCACAGTTTATGTTCAGTCTCTTCCCACATCCCCCTCTCCCCTTTTCCCCAAGAATCGTCAGTTCACTCCCCTTCCATACCTCTGATTCTATTATATTCAACAGTTACTATTGTTCATCAGATTTTTTTTTTTAATTTCCTTGGTTTTTAGATTCACTTGTTGATAGTTACATATTTGTTGTTCATAATTTTTATCTTTGTTTATTTTTTCTTCTGAAAGAACTCCCTTCAGCAACTCATATAAGTCTGGTTTGGTGTTGATGAACTCCTTTAGCTTTTTTTTACTAGTGAAGCTCTTTATCTGACCTTCGATTCTGAGTGATAGCTTTGCTGGATAGATTATCTTTGGCTGTAGGTTCTTACTATTCATCACCTTGAATATTTCTTGCCATTCCCATCTGGCCTGCATGGTTTCTGTTGAGAAGTCAGCTGACAATCGTATAGGTGATCCTTTATAGGTAACTACCTTCTTTGCTCTTGCTTCTTTTAATATTCTCTCTTTGTCTTTTGCTCTTGGAATTTTAATTATGATTTGTCTTGGTGTGGTCCTCTTTGGATTCCTTTTGTTTGGAGTTCTGTGCACTTCCTGGACTTGTAAGTCTAATTCTTTCCCCAGGTGGGGGAAGTTTTCTGTCACTATTTCTTTCAGTATGTTTTCGATATCTTGCTCTCTCTCATCTTCTGGGACCCCCATAATTCTGATGTTGGTTCGCTTGAAGTTGTCCCAGAGGTTTCTTACATTATCTTCAATTTTCTGGATTCTCTTGCCTTCTAGCTTCTGTGGAGGAGTGTCTTCTGGCTCTTTATGTTCCAAATCTTTGACTTGATTCTTGCGATCTTTCCTTCTGTTTTTAGGACTCTGTAAAATATTTTTTATTTCAGACAATGTATTCTTTATTTCTTGTTGTTCCCTTATCATTTCTTGATGACTCCTTATTAATTCTAGTTGATTTCTTTTCATGTCCTCATAGGTCTTATCCATCTTTTCTAGGAAATTCTTGAAAAACCTTATAAGCGTAGATTTGAACTCTATATCCAGTCGCTTTTTGTCCTCCATTTCTTTCATTTGTGATCTATTTGGTTTAGGCATTTTCGCAGGCAGCTTTCCTGATGGGGCGGGGTTTCAGGGTGGAGCCTACAGCTTTGGCTTCCGTCAGCCCCGCCCTATGCGACTCCTGAGACTCAGGGTCCTTCAGTACTTGTTGTAAGCGCCTCTGAGAGAAAGGCGCCCTCGATTTTCGCCTGCTGCCAAACAGTCAATGCTCTCCCCCAATGAGCCCGGTATTGGGGTTCAGTTCAGTTGGAAGTGGAGTTGGAGGTGGCGTTCAGAGCAGACTGGAGCCCCTGTCTCCTTCCCGCCAGGCAATCCCGCGGCACAGCCGGCCGTCCCTTCTCTGCGCGCACTGGGCGCCACCGCGGGGACCTCCTTTCGCCTCTTCCCCGGGTTCCGCCTCGCAGCCCAGTTCCCTCTGGCTGAGCCTGAGTCCCCGGGGTCTGGCCTAGGCCTGGGGTTCAGAGCAGTCGGGGGGCCCAGCACAGTCGGAGCTTTTATCTCCTTCCCGCCAGGGAACGCCGGCCTCCCTCCTCTCCGCCTCCCTCCTCTCCGGCTCCGTCCTCTCCGCGCGCAGCGTGTCTCCGTACCTTGGGCTTTTCCAGCTCCTCCGCGCTTCCTTCTGGTTATCTCCTTGCTTCTCGTTGTAGAATTTCCAGTCAGTCAACTTTCCTGTAGTTCTGGGTGATGTCCATTTTATATTTTAGTTGTATTTTATTGATATTGTTGTGTGAGGCTGCAGCTAGGTATTCACCTGGGCGCAGCCATCTTGGAGGACCCCCTGTATATAGAAAGTTTTAAAAGAAAAATGAAATCCCATGTGAGCTAGGAAGGCATATACAACAAGGATTAGGAAACTAAGAGCAGCTTAAACAAAGAGTGTTGTTTTTTCCTTTGGAAAAATAGTTTGGTCAGACTGGTGCAGAACTGGTGAGAACGGTGCAGCCGTCTCTGTGTGTGTCCTCTGCCTGTGTCCGCAGCGGGGCGATGGGCGGAGAAGCAGCGGGATTAGAGAGAATGGGGGTGTTGGTTGCAGGGAGGGTCGGGGCCCTGGGTGAAGCGGGGAACGGAGGAATATTGACAGTGAGGGCCAGGAGATGGAAAAGTAGGCTGGTCATGCAGGCAGCAGAGCCCGCGGAAAGAGAAGGGGTAAGGAGTGGTCCCCGGATGAGGAGGGAAATGCCTACTACGTACTGGAGAGCAGCTAGCGAACATGGGGACATCAGCAGAGAATTTGTAGAAAAGTAATTTGTAAGAGGAAATAAAGATTGTGAAAGCAACTAAAAAGATAAAAAGTAAATATAACTTGTCAGCTAGAGGAAAACCAACTTGACCCACAGACAGAAAAAGACAGGATCTGAGTGACAAGCAGCTGGTTCACCCCACAACATCTCCTCTTTGGTCCGGTGCCACAGAGCCACTCGGAGTGGTTCCTGCCCCCCATCAGGAGGTGGCCTTTGAGGATCAGACCCATGTGACCAGTATTTAAGGTTTAAGGAAAAGAATCAAATATTACCAAGGTTAAAAGACAGTGTATTTTTTTTACTTCAATTGCAGAAAGTTAAATAAAAGTTAAGCGAGGAATTTGATCTTAAAAAATCTAGTAAGTAGGTATTGCTGCAAAAACCATCAGTTAGCTGTGTGAAGCAGCCACAGTCAGCCCTGAGCAGTAAGCTGGTAGTTTACACTCTGGTTGGGATCAGATCCATCAAGAACAGGAGTTTGACCAGATGTTATCTTTGACCTCGGAAGAGCCTCAGGGCTGTGGCTCAGTCTTATATGTGCTGACTCATGGTTGGTCGGCTGGCTGAAAAGCACTGCCTAAGGGACATAGAGGGACAGTGTGATAAAAGGATTGTCTAGTCAGAAGGGTAAGTCTTTGATGGTGGCTGTTAAACATTTTGGAATTACGTCCTTGTGCCAGAATAGTAAAAGGGGGAAACATGAAGGTTTTTCTACTCAGCATGTCTCTTTCTTATTCAAGAGTCAGAGAATAGAAGCTTTGTAAGAAGTCTCAGCAGGTAGATTGTGGTGACAGGAGCCATGTCCCATAGCAAGGCACCTGGGACAGGTTATCCCATGGTGGTTGAATGTACTCCATGTTAGCATTCTGATGGGCATTTTTCTGGACTCCTCTTCTCCGTCTTCTGTCCATATGCCTATGTAGGAACTCCCAGTTAAGTCTGATTGGGATCATGTTCTTCATGCTCTTTTCTGCTCTGCTTTTTTTTTTTTTTTTTTTTTTTTTAAATATATTTTATTGATTTTTACAGAGAGGAAAGGAGAGGGATAGAGAGCTAGAAACATGGATGAGAGAGAAACATCGACCAGCTGCCTCCTGCACACCCCCCACTAGGGATGTGCAAGCAACCAATGTATATGCCCTTGACCAGAATCGAACCTGGGACCCTTCAGTCTGCAGACCAATGCTCTATCCACTGAGCCAAACCGGTTTTTCAGCTCTGCTCTGCTTTTTTTATTCAATATGACTTAACCCTCTCTCTTCCTTGGCAACATCAACCTCTATCACAGTACCTGTGTCAGTAACAGTAGTCTGTTGTATGGTGGATCATAATTCATTCAACCAGTCCTTGACTGATGGGCATTCCAGTGGCATTTTCTAGTTGTAAGAACATTGATAAAAAAAATAAATAAAAAAGTAGGATTAAAAAAAAAGGAACATGGATAGTTCTATGTATTTAGAAATGTTCACTTTTAGTTTTGTTTTTAATTTAATAAATCTTTATTGTTCAGATTATTATAATAGTTTCTCCTTTTTCCCCCTATAGCTCCCCTCCACCCAATTCCCACCCCACCCTCTGCCCTTACCTCCCCCACACTGTCCTCATCTATAGGTGTACGATTTTTGTCCAGTCTTCCTGCGCTCCCCATTTCTTTTTCCCCCTGAGAATTGTCAGTCCATTCCCTTTCTATGCCCCTGATTCTATTATATTCACCAGTTTATTCTGTTCCTCAGATTTTTAAAATATATATTTTATTAATTTTTTACAGAGAGGAAGAGAGAGGGATAGAGACTTAGAAACATCGATGAGAGAGAATCATCGATCAGCTGCCTCTTGCACACCCCCTACTGGGGATGTGCCCGCAACCAAGGTATATACCCTTTGACCAGAATCAAACCCGGGACCTTTCAGTCCACAGGCCGATGCTCTATCCATTGAGCCAAACCGGTCTCAGCTGTTCTTTAGATATTTAATTCACTTGGTTTTTGGGTTCACTTGTTGATAGATATGTATTTCTTGTTCATAATTTTTGTCTTTACTTTTTCCTTCTTCCTCTTCTTAAAGAATACCTTTCAGCATTTCATAAAATACTGGTTTGGTGGTGATGAACTCCTTTAACTTTTTCTTATTTGTGAAGCTCTTTATCTGACCTTCCATTCTGAATGATAGATTTGCTGGGTAGAGTAATCTTGGTTGTAGGTTTTTGCTATTCATCAATGAATATTTCTTGCCACTCCCGTCTGGCCTGCATAGTTTCTGTTGAGAAATCAGCTGACAATCATATGGGTGCTCCCTTGTAGGTAATTAACTGTTTTTCTCTTGCTGTTTTTAATATTTTTTCTTTGTCTTTTGCTTTTGGTATTTTAATTATGATGTGTCTTGGTGTGATCCTCTTTGAATTCCTTTTGTTTGTTTGGATTCCTTTTGTTCTGTGCGTTTCCTGGACTTGGAAGCCTTATTTCTTTCATCAGGTGGGGGAATCTTTTAGTTATTATTTCTTCAAATAGGTTTTCTGTATCTTGCTCTCTCTCTTCTTCTGGCACCCCCATAATTCTGATGTTGGAACACTTGAAATTGTCCCAGAGGCTCCTTACACTATCTTCAACATTTTGAATTCTTTTTGGTTTTTGTTTTTCCGGTTGAGTGTTTTTTGCTTCTTTGTATTTCAAATCTTTGACTTGATTCTTGATTCCTCCAGCCTGCTGTTGGGTCTCTGTATAATACTTTTTATTTCAGTCAGTGTATGTTTAATTTCTAGTTGGTCCTTTTTCATAACCTCAACGGTCTTGTTAAATTTATCGGCCTTTTCTAGGAAATTCTTGAAAAGCCTTATAGCAGTGGTTTTGAATTCTATATCCAGTCATGTATTTTCTTCCATTTCTTTCGTTTGTGGTCTGTTACTTTGGCTCTGCATTTTCGCTGCTTCCCTGAGTTGTAGAGTGGCTTTGTGTGCTGGGTTTTCTATATGGCCCAGTGGGTCAGCCTCCCCGTCACCTGAGGTGGACACTCTTTTTTTCTTTTTCTTTTTTTTAATATATTTTATTGATTTTTTACAGAGAGGAAGAGAGAGGGATAGAGAGTTAGAAACATTGATGAGAGAGAAACATCAATCAGCTGTCGCTTGCACACCCACTACTGGGGATGTGCCTGCAACCAATGTACATGCCCTTGACCGGAATCGAACCTGGGACCTTTTAGTCCGCAGGCAGATGCTCAATCCACTGAGCCAAACCGGTTTTGGCATGAGGTGGATACTCTTAGGGCACCCCTTTGTCATCTGTGTGTACAGCCATTTTGTAGTTAAGTCTTGATTATTGTTGGAATCATTGGGAGGAATTGACTTCCAGGCCAATTGGCTGTATCAGCTGTGTCTACGCCAGGATATCTTATGTATTGGGGGCAGTCTTATAGGACCAGACTTGCAAAATTGCAAAAGCCTCTGTGCTCAGCTTGGATGGGGCAGAGTCTCAGAGCTGAGCAGACAGTCTTGGCTTCCCATCAGCCCTGTCCCTGCTCGCGCTCCTCCAGACCTTTGCATTCCGCGCTCCCCTGAGTTTCCGCCTGACAGTCCAGATTCCCCCCCAGGCTCACCCAGAACTGGGGTACAGTGCAATCAGGAGCTTCTGACTCCCTTCCACTAGGGAGAGCCAGCAGCAACCTTGTGCGTGTGTGTCTCCAGACCCCTGCCTGCAGTGGCTTCCTCTCTACCTGACAGTCCAGACTCCCCTGTAGGAGCCTGGGTCCATGGTGTTTCGCCCGGAACTGGGGTTCAGTGCAGTTGGGGGCTTCCTTCCTTCTCCCGCCAGAGAACTCAGCAGTCAGTCTTCTCTGTGTGCGTGCGTTTCCATACCTCAGCCTTTTGCAGCTCCTCTCTCCATGTGCTTTCGTCTTTTCTTCTAGTTGTATGATTTCCACTCAGCCAACTTTTCTGTGGTTCTGGATGGTGTCAGAATCATTCTGTCTTTTAGTTGTTTTGAAGTTGTTGTGCAAGACAGCAGATTAGGTGTTTATGCCGCCATCTTGGTTTCTCACTTCCAGAGATGTTCACTTTTGAGTTAAGTATTGCTGACTTTTCTTTGGGGTGGGGCCCTTTTATTTATTTATTTTATTTTAATGTATTTTTGTTAATTTCAGAGAGGAAGAGAAAGGGAGAGAGAGATAAAAACATCAATGATGAGAAGCATTGATCAGCTGCCTCCTGCACGCCACACACTGGGGATCCAGCCTATGGCCTGGGCAAGTGCCCTGACTGGGAATCGAACTGTGGCTTCCTGGTTCATAGGTCAGTGTCCAACCACTGAGCCAGGCCAGCTCTTTTAATTTGTTCTTGAAAGAGATAGTTTCATCATGTCAAAAGCAGAGCAGTGATAAACACTGGGTTTTGAAGGATTCATGTTTACTTAATCATTAATAAGTTTACAGTACAAAGTTCAAAAGATAGAAAAATGTCCATCCAGTCCATATACTCCAGCCCCTTTTTCTTTACCCAGAGGCCACCCAATGTTACCAGTTCCTGGGACATCAGAGCTTGTCTGTGCCTGCTCTCTCAGACACATGGTTTCCCTTTTTTTTACATACACGTTAGGGTGCACTGTTCTGCATCCTCTTTTATATTTAACTGTACATATTTTGGATTCTTTTTTTTTATTCATAAAGTCTCACTTCTTAGTGTTTGTTACAACTTCATTGTACTGCATTTCTATAACTGCTGTGCTGCGCTGTACTAACCAGTCCTCTGCTGATGGACCTGTAGGTGGCTCCAGTCTTGTGCTGTTGCAAACAGTGCTGCAGTGCTAACCTTGCACACATGTCATTTCCGAGGCAGAGGCTGCACTTCTAGACATCATTACTCTGGACAGTAGTGGCTAAAACCACTGGGCTTATCTGTCAAGTCATCTTCACAACAAGTCATTTTGTATAGTAATGGAAAGCACTTGTTCAGTGATTGAGTAGAACTCTATACACATTGAATAAAATTTATTTTCTCAGTAGTTCCTACCTGTGATTAATTCTGCTTCTGCATTTCAGACCTTTTTAACACTATCATTACAAGATATGGCAAGTCGTGTGCAATTATCTGGACCACAGGAGGCAGAAAAATATGTCCTGCACATGGTAAGTGTGCTTTCATTGTTAAAACAGATTAGTGGATTTCTGTGTTTGTAGAAGTAACAGGTGTTCATATGGAAAATGTAAAAAAGGAGAAAGGGGTTGAGAAACATTCAAAGTCAACTGCTGTGGACATTTTGGGTTATTCCCTTAACGATCTATGGACTTCTCTAGTCACAGTAATTATAATAATTTATAGGGCCCTAACCGGTTTGGCTCAGTGGATAGAGCGTCAGCCTGAAGACTGAAGGATCCCAGGTTCAATTCTGGTCAAGGGCATGTACCTTGGTTGTGTGCACATCCCCAGTAAGGGTATGCAGGAGGCAGCTGATCGATGTTTCTAACTATCCCTATCCCTTCCTCTCTGTAAAAAGCAATAAAATATACTTAAATAAAATAATAATTTATCAGTTCCCTTAGCAAAGGAACTACTACCGGAGAATTCACGTTCTGGGCCAGGCCACCCAGCAGGCTGGGCTGTGTAGGATGATTCATAGGGCTGAGCCTAAGTTCAGTGCTGCTATTATGTCAGTACTGTAACAGCAAGTAGCTCCATTCCAGCTGTTGGATATGTGTTAATTGAGTGCTAAAGAATATAAGGTTAAACTAAAATAATAATAATAATAATTTATAGGGTGCATCCCGTTTGTGGTCTATGTCAGTTTTTGTAAACATGTAAAATACTCATGAAAATTTTATTTATTTATTTATTTATTGACTAATTTCACAGAGGAAGGGGGAGAGAGAGAGAGAGAAACATCAATGATGAGATTCCACGCCCCCTACCAAGCCTACAACCTGGGCATATGCCCTTGACCGGAATTGAACCTGGAATCCTTCAGTCCACAGGCCGATGTTCTATCCACTGAGACAAACAGGCTAGAGCATCATGAAATATTTATGATATACAAAGAGGCATAAAGCAGTGTTACTCAACATGCTGGTCCATGATAAGGTCATGAACTTGTGCCCAGGTAGGTCAGGGCATTGCTTCCATCACCGGCAGAGTCCTGCTCAGAGAGGCAGTTGCTCAGTGGCGGCACTGACTGTGGCCCATGACTATTCTGTGCATAGAATAGTGTTGATATAAAGGGTGCTAGAGCAGGCAGCCCTGTGCTCAGCACCTAGCTTCAGAAACCAGATACTATCAGTATACCTGACACCCCTGTTTATCACTGCCAGGTTATCTCCCCACTTCCCATATGTGGATAAGCATCATTTAGTTAACTACGTGGTAACCCACTAATGTAATCTACCTACTGCTTAGTTGTAGATACATGGCTGGACCAGAACAGACCTGTCCTGGCCCAAGACAGCGGTCTGCGGGACGCTGGCATCTGCATGTTCTGCTCTGGCCTCCCCGTGGCGCAGAGGCCCTGCCACATCAGCATTAGGAGTGATACAGCTGTTTCCCATGGGGACAGTGGAGTAGTTTATTCCCAGAGTCCAATTTGCAAATTTTTTTTTTTGGGGGGGGGTTCTATTCAAAACACACAGGCATGCCAAACAAAACTTGTCTGACTTAACCAACCTGGGGGTGTCTGCTAAGGGCGCCTTGCTAACCCTGTAGGGGTTAGAGGGAATGAGGAAGCTACAGAGCCTCCCATGGGTAAGAAGAAACACATGGGTGGTTGTGACCGCAGCCAGGACACAGAAGTTAGCAAATGCTTTGAGGGGTCAGAGGAGGGGGCGGGTTTTGAACACTGCCTAACCAACCAGACAGCCTGGCAGCCCGGGTCCACAGGGCTGTTTAGTCTGCCAGAGGACATTTGGCAAGGTCTGAAGACCTTGGTTTTTGGTTGTCCCCGGTAGGCTGTCCCTACTTGTGTTTAGTGAGTAGAGGCCTAGGGTGTCTTAACAGCTTAAATGCACAGGAGAGCCACACAGCAAAGCGCTAGCTGCCTCAAGTGTCAGTTCTGCCGAGCTTGAAGCAGCCTGGCCTGGGTGTTAGGCCCACGAGGACAGTATTTGTTTTAGAGCGGTTTGAAGTTCAAAACAAAATTGTGGGCTTCAGAGATTTCCCATTGTCCCCTGTCCCGCACAGCACAGCCTCCCTCATTGTCATCACCCCGAAGTGGTGCATGTTACAGCAGAGGAGCCCACACGGACACATCCTCACTGCCCAGAGTCCAGCTTACGGTGGGTTCACTCTTGAACATTCTGTGGGTTTGGACCGTGGGTAACAATAGGTACCCCTCATTGTGGTCTGACAGTAGTCTCCCACCCCGCACGCCCTCTATGCTCTGCCTGTCATGTCCTCTTCCCGCCCCGGCACCACTGACCTCACCCCCCAGCGTGGCCGGCGCCACCACGGCCTCTGGCTGACTCGCAGGGAGCGGCCTTTCGCCGGCTGCTGCCCTCAGGGTCTGCAGCGAAGGTCCCTGCTGCCTCTTCAGGTTCGCAGAGCTGAGGACCCAGTAGTCACTCACTCATCTCGGGTGCTTTCACATATAAATGAAACTGCTTAAACATCCTCGGACAGGCTTTTGTGTGGGCATAACTCGCTTTAGTAAATGCCAAACAAGGTGATAGCTGGACCATATATATGGTGGTAAGAGTGTCTAAAATGCCATCGCCATACCCCAGCCTCTGGGGTTTCTCCTGTATCATCTTCAGGAGTGTCCTGATACTGCATTGACCGTTAGGCTGTGCTGTGATGTTTGCGGAGGGTGCAGTCTGTGTCTGATTCTTTCTCTGCGTGTGGACAGCAGTTCGGCTCCCTTTGTGGAAAGGCTGGCTTGCTGGGTGGGGCTGCTTGACCCTCTGTCCAAGACCCAGGCTGTTTATGTGGGCCTGTTTCTGGGCGCTCCATCCTGTCCCACTCACCTATTGGTCTGTAACAAGTCTGAAAAGTAGGTGGTGTCTGTCTTCAGACTTGGTTCTCCTTTAGTAGTTAGTGTATGGCTTTTCTGCGTCCTTTTATCTCTCCACATGAACTGAGAGTCAGTGTGTCAGTGTTTGTGAAATAGCTGGCTGCCATTTGACAGAGATTGCATTGAATCTATAGATCAGATTGGGAAGAACTGACATCTTGATAATATCAAATCTTTCTAGCCATGAACATGGAGTACTTTTTAATTTATTTAGTTCTTTGATTTCCTTCATCAGGTTTTTGTAGTTTTCCTCAGATAGATCTTACAGATATTTTGTTGGATTTGTTCCTAAGTACTTCATTTGGGGGGACAGGGATGCACATGTAAATGGTGTTGTTTTCAGTTTCAGATTGCACCTGCTCGTTGCTGCTATACAAAAGCAGCCGCCTTGTGTATGTTAACCTTATGTCTTGCAGCCTTGCTGTGCTGGTCATGCAGGCGTTTGTTGTTGGTGGTGATCCTTTCAGATCTCTGCATAGAGGATCGTGTCGTCTATAAACAGCAGTTTTGTTCCTTTTTCAGTCTCTGTGCCCTTTCAGCCTCACTCTGTCAGCCAGCCCTCCCAGTGCAGTGCCAAGGGCACATGCCCAGGTTGCAGCTCGAACCCCAGTAGGGGGCTTGTAGGATCAATGATTCTCTCTCGTCATTGATGTTTGCATCTCTCTCTCCCTCTCCCTTCCTTTCTAAAATCAATAAAAATATATTTAAAAAATAGAACAATCAGTGTGAAAAACATTTTTGGGTCAAGATTAGCAAAAATAAAGATGCAAGGGCAGTTTGAAAGCATGCTAAGGGAAATAAGACACATATTGTATGATTCCATTTATAGAAAGGTCAAGAATAGGCAGTTCCATAGCGCAGAAAATAGGTCAGGGGCTGAGAGGGGGGAGGGAGAGGAGAGAGAGAGAGAGAGAGAAAGAGGGAGAGAGGGAGGGAGGGAGGGAGGGAGGGAGAGGGGGAGAGAGAAAGAAAGAAACTGCTCATAGATGTGGGTTTCCTTTTGGGTGATGAAAATGTTTTGGAATTAGATGAAGGTGGAGGTTGCACAACACTGTGCATGTACTAAATACCACTAAATTATACACTTTAAAATGGTTAATGACTTTTAACTCACATGTAAAATAAAATACAAATGAAACAATGTAAGGGCATGGGCTTTTATGATTGTGTTAGTTTTGCACCCCCTGGCATCTACGGTGGTGCCTAGAACATTCTCAGATTTCAATAAAAACTTGTTGAAAATACAGTTGTGCTTAAAATACACATATACATTTATGTATTTACTAGAGGTCCAGTGTACGAAATTCGTGCACTCCAGGGTGGGGAGGGGTGTCCCTCAGCTTGACCTGTGCCCTTTTGCAGTCAGGGAGCCCTCGGGGAATGTCCGACTGACGGCTTAGGTCTGTCCCTCCTGGGGAGCGGGCCTAGGCCATTTGTCAGACATCCTTGGCGCTGCCGCGAGGCTGGAGAGGCTCCCGCCACCACTGCTGTGCTCGCCACTGACCACCAGGGGGCAGCTCCTGTGTTGAGCATCTGCCCCCTAGTGGTCAGTGCACATCATAGCAACCGATCATTCTGCTGTTTGATCAATTGCATATTAGCCTTTTATTATATAGTATAAAGAACAAGGTCTGTGTTCTTTATTACATATTGCTTTCTGTGCTTTGCTCTGGTTATATTGAATAACTATAAATTTCCATGGTGTTCAGGTCTAAACTTCTTCCCTGATTGTTTTTTATAGATAGAAGATGGTGAAATTTTTGCAAGTATTAATCAGAAGGATGGTATGGTCAGTTTCCATGACAACCCTGAAAAATATAATAACCCAGCCATGCTTCATAACATCGACCAGGAGGTGAGCATGAGATCCAGTTTTGGTGTTGGGTTGGTGTTTGAGACGTGTTTGACACGCTGTCCTGTGCTCCAGGAGAAGGGTAGTGTAAATGCAGGGAGTTCCCAGCGAGCCCTAGGAGCACGTCAGTTCCTCGGAAGGTAATTACAAAGGGGCTGCTGTGACCCTTCGGGGCCACTGGTTCTGAGTGAGTGGTGGGTTAGAGGCCCAGGGAGCTCCCCACAGCCTCTCGGACTCCTCAGGCATCTGAAGGCTCTTACAATTGGTATGATTTCATCCACGCCCAGCTGGCACTAGCATGGAGTCTCGTTGCTGTGGCCACATGTATCTGCGTCCAGGTCGGGTCAGAGCACATCTGTACAGGAGTGGGGGGGGGGGGCGCCCCAGGGCAGCCGCCCTGCGCCTCGGGTCGCGCTGCTCCCGTGCTGCAGGCGAGTCGGGACTGTGTGGGTGGTCTGCGCTCCTCACCTCAGATTAAGGCAATGAATTGAACAAAGCCTTACATCTCAAAAGCGTAAAAAGCAAACTTCTAGTTTTCAGGGTTTTTCCAATTTTGAATTGCAGGTAAGGACCTGGGGAAGGACACTACGCACTGTTTGTTTTTTGGTAATTCATTTGATGGCAAATGTCACTGATATGGTTTATAGTCTTTATTTATTCAATTTAGTGAGAATGTTTTTAGGGTTCACTGAAATGACAGTGTGTTTGATTAGGGGGTGCTTCCCTAGTTCCCACTCCTGGGACTGGATTAACTTTCTGAACTCAGAAACACTGACTCCAAACTCCAGTGGTTCCTGGTCAGCGGATGGGGAGCCTGTGGCACCATGTGTTTGAAAGTCTGGATCAGTGGTCGGCAAACTCATCAGTCAACAGAGCCAAATATCAACAGTACAACGATTAAAATTTCTTTTGAGAGCCAGATTTTTTAAACTTAAACTTCTAACGCCACGTCTTCAAAATAGACTCGCCCAGGCCGTGGTATTTTGTGGAAGAGCCACACTCAAGGGGCCAAAGAGCCGCATGTGGCTCGCGAGCCGCAGTTTGCCGACCACGGGTCTAGGTTCAAATCGACCTACACCTGTACTCTAACCCCCTTACCCTGCCACCACAGATGCTGAAGTGCATCGAGCTGGATGAGCGGCTGAAGGCGATGGACCAGGAGATCACAGTGAACCCCCAGTTTGTGCAGAAGGTACTTGAGGAGGCTCCCCTCGTTAACGAGAAGGGGGGTGGAGAAGGGGTTATTCCCACATGGGGACTGAGAGCTCAGTCTGACTAAATGTTTAGCTGCTGGGAGTTCTCGAAAACCTTTATCCCAGTTCACAGAGACTGTGGAGGCATTTTCACACCAGACTGCTTAGGGGAGGCAGAGGGTGGTCCCTGGGCTGGGCTCCTCCCCGTGCACAGAGACGGGGGCGTCCTCCAGAAGCCACAGGTGCTTGGTGGGGCTGGTGGGAAACCTGACAAGGGCCAGCGCGAATGCACTGCTTCCCTCTCCCTCACAGAGCATGGGGTCCCAGGAAGATGATTCTGGAAACAAGCCATCCAGTTATTCTTGAAGCAGATGGCCGTCCTGATTTAAACAAGAAGAGCTATCACCGTGGCCAGTAGCAGTTATTAGAAGGGCAGCAGAGAGGACATCGAGAAATTACATTTTGTTTGACTTGTTCAGCCCTATGTGCTTTCAGAAAACCATTCTCTGCAAAGAGGAAAAAAATCAAACTTTCAAGTCTGTTGTGGATTTATTTATCCTCAGATTAATGTTGTCATTGCATTAAATCTACCCTTTTGTTTTAAATTATTTGAACATTGATGTGTCTTTTGTATCACTTTTCATCTGAAAAGTTTTTGAAAACATTCATTTTGAACAAATCTATTTTAGAAACTTTTGGAAGATTTTGATCTAAAGTTGGTAGATATCAATTGCTTTTTTTAAAAAGCCATGAGAGGCCATAAGACAGAAGCTGGTGCTTTATAACTGAACGAACATGCATTTCTGGAACAGTGCGGCCTGTGGTGAGAGGCTGCGGCATGCTTCCGCCTTCGGTGTGTGCCGCCAGCTCCCGGGGGCGGCTTTTCCTGCGGCAGTGCCAGGCTTGCCTCTTCCTCGGAGCCTTTCCGGCCACGCTGCAGCTGCGTCCTCGTGGTTCAGGCCGCTCCTCCGGAGAGCTTCGCTGCTCTAGCAGGGAATGGGTGGAGCCTTTAAAAAGGGGAATCAGATTAATCTAGAATTTGATCCTTAAAAAAAGTTTCTCACTAGCAACATCCACTTTTTTAAATGTATCAACTTATGTAATCAGCCACTTCTTTTCGTTATTTACAAAAAGAAATTGGAACCTCATGAGTCCCGTAAAAAGTGCTCATTATAGAGAGGCTGAGGGGTCTCGTGGTTTGTGATAACCGTGTGGGCCAGTGCTGCTGGGTCCCAGAAAACATGAGGTGGAGGCTGGGCTTGACCCTTCTCTACACTCCTGTTCTCCAGCTCACTGAGTCCTGTCCCTTACGTCGCAGTGACTGCTCATACCTCTTAACCCCTCCCCCTTTTCGCCGTCCTCCCATCTGACAGCCATCAGGATGTTCTCTATCACTGTTTGCTTTGTTCATGTATTGGAGTTACAATGGTTAATAAAATTATATAGGCTTCAGGTGTACCTCCTTATGTACATCTGCAATTCCAGTTGGGTCCTGGGAGGAGGTGAGTGTAGCTTCTGCCTCCTTCACCACCATCCTGGATTCTCTGACCTACTTCACTAGTGTAATACCCTCTGGGTCCATCCATGTTGCAGATGGCAAGGTGGTTTTTATGGCTGATAGAAGTATTTCATTCATCCAGTCATCCATCAGCTGACACTTAGGCTGCTTCCATATCTCAGCTATCCTATCTATTAAAACTAATATGCAAATTAACCACCACTCCAACACACAAGATGGCTGCCCCCATGTGGACACAGATGGCCAGTAGGGGAGGTCAGTTGGGGGCGATCAAGCCTGTAAGGGAAGACAGTTAGGGGTGAACAGGCCAGCAGAGGAAGGAAGTTGGGAGCGATCAAGCCTGCAGGGAAGGGCAGTTGTGGGGGAACCAGGCCTACAGGGGAGAGCAGTTGGGGGAAACCAGGCCTGCAGGGGAGGGCAGTTAGGGGTGACCAGCCCTTCAGGGGAGGGCAGTTAGAGGCAATCAGGCAGGCAGGGGAGCAGTAAGGCATCAATCAAGCTGGCAGGGAAATGGATAGAGGGTGATCAGGCTGGCAGGCAGAAGCGGTTAGGGGCAATCAAGAATGCAAGCAGTTGGGAGGCAGCAGTCCTGGATTGTGAGAGGGATGTCCAGTTGCCTGTTTAGACCCAGTCCTACTCGGATTGGGCCTAAACGGGCAGTCAGACATCCCTTGAGGTATCTCAGATTGGAGAGGGTGCAGGCTGGGCAGAGGAACACCCCCTCCCCGCCCACATGCATGAATTTCGTGCACCGGGCTTCTATTATAGTTTTAAATGATGCTTCAGCAGGCATAGGGATGCAGATGTCTTCCCAAGTTAGTGTCTCAGGTTTCTTTAAATACTCAAAAGTAGAATCTGGGTCTTTACCTCTTGTTACAGCTTTTGTCTTAGAGTCTATTTTGTCTGATACAGTTTTGCTTAGTCAGCTTTTTTGTTTTCATTTGCATGAAATATCTTTCCATCTCTTAACTTTTAGTCTTTTGATGTGGAGTGGAGTGGGTCTTCTGTAAGCCAAATATGTATGGATCTTGTTTCCTTATCCATTCAGCCACCCTGCATCTTTGGGGCATTTAAACCATTTACATTAAAGTAATTGGTAATAGTATGTGCTTACTGTCATTTTTATTATATATTCTTATGTTCTTTTTTTCTCTTAAAGAAATCCCTTTAGCCCTAACAAGTTTGGCTCAGTAGATAGAGTGTTGGCCTCTGAAATGAAGGGTCAACGGCACATGCCCAAATTATGTGCTTGGTCCCCAGTAGGGGGCATACAGGAAGCAGCCAGCCAATGATTCTCTTACCATTGATGTTTCTCCCTTCCTCTCTAAAATCAATAAAAATATACATTTTTTAAAAGGAAATTCCTTGAACATTTCTTATAATCCTGGTTTGGTGGTTGTGATCTCTGAGTTAGCTTTTTCTTTTCTGTGAAGCTCTTTACTAACATCAATTCTAAACGCTAGCTTTGCTTGGTAGAGTAATCTTCGTTATACTGTATATTGTAGATTTTCATCCCTTTGAATATTTCTTCCAGTCCCTTCTGGCTTGCAAAGTTTCTGTTGAGAAATCAGCAGTTAATCATATGGGTAACTAACTGCTTTTCTGTTGCTACTTTAAGATTCTCTCCTTGTCTTTAACCCTTGGCATTTTAATTACATTGTCTTGGTGTGGGCCTCTTTTGGTTCATCTTGTTTGGGACTGTGCACCTCCTGGGCTTGTATGTCTATGCCTTTCATCAAGTTAGGAAAGTTGTCAGTTCTTATTCCTTCAAACAGATTCTCAATCCCTTGCTTTCTCTCTCCTACTGGTATCCTATGATGTGAATGTTGGAACACTTGATGTTATTTCAGAGGCCCCTTAAACTATCCTCATTTTAAAAATTCTTTTTTATTTTGCTATGTTTTCTTTTACCTTATGTTCCACCTAGAGGCCCAGTGCACAATATTCATTGCACAGCGGTTAACAGACCACAAGACCCCCTAAGCCAGCAGTCAGACATCCCCTGAGGGGTCCTTAGTGCTGCCACTGCTACGCTCGCCAGCCATGAGCCTGGCTCCTGACTGAGCAGCACTCCCCCTGTGGGAGTGCACTGACCACAAGGGGATAGCTTCTGCATTGAGCATCTGCCCCTGGTGGTCAGGGCACATTATAGCGGTTGGTCGTTTCACGGTTCAATTTACATATTAGGGTTTTATTTTATTTATTTGTTTTGTTTTGTTTTTTTATTTGTTAAATAAATCTTTATTGTTCATATAAGATGTTTCTCTTTTTTTCCCCCTCCATTGCTCCCCTCTACCAAGTTCCCACCCCACCCTCTGCCCTTTCCCCACCCCCTGTTGTCCTCATCCATAGGTGCACAGTTTTTCAGTCTCTTCCCCCACCCCCTACTCTCCTTTTCCCAGAGAATCATCAGTCCACTCCCCTTCCATACCTCTGATTCTATTCACCAGTTAATATTCTTCATCAGATTTTTTAATTCCCTTGGTTTTTAGATTCACTTGTTGATAGTTACATATTTGTTGTTCATAATTTTTATCTTTATTTTCTTCCTCTTCCTAAAGAAACCCTTTCAGCAATTCATATAATTCTGGTTTGGCAGTGATGAACTCGTTTAGCTTTTTTTTTTTTTTTTTTTTTTTTTTTTGTGAAACTCTTTATCTGGCCTTCAATTCTGAGTGATAGCTTTGTTGGGTAGAGTATTTTTGGCTGTAGGTTCTTGCTGTTCATCACCTTGAATATTTCTTGCCATTCCCGTCTGGCCTGCATGGTTTCTGTTGAGAAATCAGCTGACAATCATATGGGTGCTCCTTTATAGGTAACTACCTGCTTTTCTCTTGCTGCTTTTAATATTCTCTCTTTGTCTTTTGCTCTTGGAATTTTAATTATGATGTGTCTTGGTGTGGTCCTCTTTGGATTCCTTTTGTTTAGGGTCCTGTGCGCTTCCTGGACTTGTAAGTCTAATTCTTTCACCAGGTGGGAGAAGTTTCCTGTCACTATTTCTTCCAGTATGTTTTCGGTATCTTGCTCTCTCTCATCTTCTGGGACCCCCATAATTCTGATGTTGGTTCGCTTGAAGTTGTCCCAGAGGTTTCTTACATTATCTTCAACTTTCTGGATTCTCTTGTCTTCTTGCTTCTGCGGAGGAGTGTCTTCTGGCTCTTTATGTTCCAAATCTTTGACTTGATTCTTGCAATCTTCCATTTGTTTTTAGGACTCTGTATAATATTTTTTATTTCAGAAAATGTATTCTTTATTTCTAGTTGATCCCTTTTCATATCCTCATAGGTCTCATTTATTTTATTGGCCTTTTCTAGGAAATTCTTGAAAAACCTTATAACTGTGGTTTTGAACTCTATATCCAGTCACTTGTTGTCCTCCATTTCTTTCATTTGTGATGTTTCCTTGTCTCAGCATTTTCGCAGCTTCCCTGAGTTGGTAGGGGGGCTTTGGGTTCTACGGTGTCCTATAAGGTTCAATGGGTCACCCTCCCAGTTACCTGAGGTGGACACTCTTGGTGCACCCCTTTGTGGACTGTCTGTACAGCCTTATTGTACAGTCTTGATTGTTGGTATCACTGGGAGTAACTGATCTCCAGGCCAATTGGTTGTGAAGATCAGCTGTGTCTATGCCGGGAGACAGCCTTATTTGACTAGACTTAGAAAATTGCAAAAGCCTCTGTGTTCAGCTTGGATGGGGCGGAGTTTCAGGGTGGAGCCTACAGCCTTGGCTTTCTGTCAGCTCTACCCTATACGACTCCTGAGTCTCAGTGTTCCTCAGTGTCCTTTGGTACTCGCTGCAAGTACTTTGAGAGAAAGGTGCCCTCGAGTTTCACCCACTACCGGACAGT